AGGGAGCGAGGGGGAGGGGGGGGGTGGAGGCGAAAAGAAGCTTTCGAAAATCTAATCAGGGTTAAAGCAAGTTCAGGAATAATTCGCAACGTGTGGATGGAGCTTAAATCTTTTTTTTTTTTTTTTTTTTTTAAATCGAACGCAAATATGACTTTTGCTTTCAATTTGGATTTTCCGTGTGTAAAGTTGGCTGTGAAATTTTGTGGAGGTGGGAGGGGTGAAACAAGGATGTAGGATGGGGAAAGAAAGAGGGATCGAGATATAGGGGTAGATTTAAATTTTTTTTTTTTTTTTTTTTTCAAATTAAACGCAGTGAGGCATTTTGACCGATTTTTTTTGACACGCAGATTCGGTATCTGGTATGCGCGTGTGTAGCCACCCTTGGTGTTTTTTCTTCAGCCTGATAAATTTTAGGGGTTGACATTGTGGCGTGTCACCCGTGAAAAAAAAAAAAAAATTTGCCTCTGTACTCGCAACCAGTTTAATTAACTTCCGTTCTATTCGCTATCGCTTTAACTTTCGCCGTCCCCTCGACCAAGTGAGGTTGCGTAGTGGCTAGTGCAGGTATCAATTTCTTTTTCCACCCCTTTTGGTTCGTTTTTTTCTTTTTTATTTTTTTTTTCCTTTCAATTCTGCGCCACTCTTCAAAAGACACCACTTACGCTTGGTCGGATCCTTTCGGCAGGTTCTACCCTCGTTACTGCGCATTCGGCGAATTTCTTCGATGACCGATCGAATTTTCATCCCTCTTCTTGACGGGGGGGCGGTCGGAGGCTCGCAGAGAGAGATCCAAGTGGACTATATCTTCTAGGGTCTCTCGAGTCCTGACAGATGGGAGAAGAGGCGCCTTTTCTTCAGGACTTCAGTGACAATCATCCCTTAGTTGAGCATTTGGAAATCGAGATCAGTGGCGTAGGTACGACGGGGGCTTGGCTTCGTACCGTGGGGTTAAGCCTTTAGTCGGATATTGAGAACTACTGATTTCACGGAGTGAATTTAGCATTCGGAATCCTAGAGAATATTAGGAATTTTTTCAAGGGTTGTAAAATATTCAAATGGCAGGGCGACGCTGTTTCAGGGGGGTGATGGGGGGGGTGGCGTTGACGTGGACTACTCGTTACGAAAAAAAAAAAAAAAAACGGAGGGTACCGTCAGGATCGATGTGCAGAAAGAAAATTTTTTGAAAAAAAAAAGAAAAGAAATAAGATTTCATCCCCTATAGAACCTCTGTACTTGAATTCCTTTTTTTTTTCCTCATATCTGCACCCCTTCGACCTTCCTCCTACTTCAGTCTTTTGTATTTCATTCTTTACCCTTTAGACCTATTCACCTTTTTCACGTTTCCTTCCTTATTGCTCTCTCTCTCTCTCTCTCTCTCTCTCTCTCTCTCTCTCTCTCTCTCTCTCTCTCTCTCTCTCTCTCTTTCAATTAAATTTTCAAAAAATTTTTCTCTTTTTTTTCCACTGTTTCTTCACCTGTCATTCAATCACCCCTTATTTTTTTTTTCTTGCCTTTAAATTTTTTTATGTCTACTCTCAGAGGGGTTTTCCACCATCTGCTCGCACCCCCCATAGTCTGTCCCATGAATATGCTTTCCTTTTCCGTCTCGACGCTCTTCGTTCCAATGGTCGTCGCGACGTCTTCGGTCCCAGCGAGGGGTAGAAATTGAGGGTTACGTAGGGACTAATGTATAGATAGAATGTTTTACGTGGGTTCCTAACCAAAAGACGTAACAAACGACGGGGTGGTGCGAGACGTTGGAGCGTATCGAACCGGATCACGATCACAAGTATACTGTATCGCGTCTCCCTAACCATTAAGGGATGAAAAAGTAAATGTCACGAAAGATACTGGAAAATCACGAAAAAGAGCTTCGTTCGCCGTCGCACAAATCATACGCAATCTTCGTCTATACGTAAAATACAATTTATTTTATTTTATTTCATTTTACCAATACGGTGTCAAATTTTTAAAAGAAAATTCATTTAACTTTCCATATCACATTTCCCACGGTCTTCTACGTCCTCGTTCCTACTCGCAAGAAATTGCCATCTGGAAGACGCAAAGTACGTTAATTTTTTTTTCGTTTTCAACCGTAACTCCACGAATCGATGTAAAAATAATCCGATACCCGAAATTGTTACTTTGCATTTTAATTAAAAATTATATCTGCACGTATCGTTCCTATTTTGCGTTACTCCTGATTGTACTGTAGGTTAGGTTAGATTTCAAAAAACGGAATTTCACTGTCATCACTTGTAAAATATAATTTATAATATTCACCCACTTTCGGGTGTAAAAGTAGTTCTTGGACACCCTGTATATACATATATAACTAGGTAGCTACGATGAAAAAGATAAAGTACAGGGTAAAACCCTGTCGCTAGTACTATACAGAAAGTAACCGTAGAAGTCGTTGCGATTCGAAATTGTATTTTAAGCGTGGCTGGCAACCCTGGACGAATTTTCAATGGACAATACGCAGTGCATTGCGCGCATGATCGTTCGGGGTCAAGGTCACGAGATTATAAGCCAAAAGAGAAGAATGACCTTTCTGAAGGAAAAATTGATAAGGAATCTGAATAAACGCAGACGATTGTAAATTCTTGGTAGATATCGTGAAATTACCTAAGCGATACCCAGCTGTCACCCTGTCTTGATAAAAGTACAGGAATGCTGTGTTTTTGGGGAACGATAAGAAATTGAACCCCTCCTCGGGATTCAATTAAAAAAAAAAGTTTCCTTTCCATCCCCCCTCCCAGCCCATTCCTTCTTACCTTACATTTCCTGTAGTTAAGGGTTGAAGTAAAATACGAAGATCACCGTCGTACTTCAACCCCCTAATCGGTTCGCTACCCTTCAGCATTATATCCTTATACGACGTATATCCTTGACTGTATATATATAGAGTAGATATATATATATATATCTACTCGAATGGAAGTTCCGTATAACCGGAAAGAACGTGCAGGAAACTCTAATGCGATTAGAGACTGGATTCTCTTCTTATCGCGAAGCTACTTTATTTTTCTTGGACGGCTGTATTGTTCGCGTCGTCTCAAGTCAACGTTACGTGCGATTAAAATGGATTTACTTGGAAGTTAAAAAGAAAGTCTATATCGTGTTGATTTAGATTTTTTTTTCTCTTCGTGGATTCTTGTCGTCAGTTATCAGCCGGTAAGGTAGGATTTTTCGAGCTGTGAAAAATTACAAAATTTTTTTTCCCCTCTCGCGCTCGTTTTCACCCTCTGTACTCGAAAACATATTTTTTGGTTGAATTTTCAAAAAAAAAAAAAAAAAGATGGAAAATGGTCGTTACCCACTTTTTCAATTTTTGTCCAGCCGCTCTCTTCACTCGTGTATGCCACTCTATCGATTGGTGCAGCCTAACCTGACTCTCTATGGTATCAAGAGTTTGTTGTACTTATATTATACTGCGTTCGAGGGTGAAGATGCTCGATGGGGGGTTCGACATGGGCTGGCGGAGAGATGCTCAGGTTTTTCAATTTGGCAAAAAGCAGGTACGAAACAAGCCCCTTCGAAGTGGTGGATATGCCTCGTTTGCAGGTCCTTGAGGGTTTTCCTTTACTGGGGGGTAGTTTTTTTTTTATGGATCCTATATACGTGGGTATGTGTATATATATATATATATAAGTAATTTTATCTTAAAGCTAATATACTTCCTCTAGCAGCCATGACACTCGTGACGTCATTCATTTTAATTTACACAATTCCAATAAGCACCAACCACCCTAATCTTACCGTTCAAGGATCCTCCTTGATGTTTCACGTGCAAAATGCTGATGTAATTTTCGTCTAATGACTTTTTCGAGGACTACGCCAATGTTTGCACCCCTACAAAAGGACTCCAGTGTCCTGTCAATGTATACAGGGGTGGGTTGAGTTCCGATCGTACGTCGAAATCTTTAAGCAGTTTGCATCGATCAGATATTTTCATGTAATTTGACTTTTAGGGAAAAATATTTTTTTTTCACCTTTTTTCGGGCCTTTTTCACCCCCCTCGTCGGTACGCGAGAGGGTGAGAAAAATTTTTTTAAATCACACCCATAAAGTCGTCCTGGTAATAATTTTTTTTTTCTTGGC